ACTGTTACTTCACCTACAGATGCTTATGGAGAAATCGAGTTCCACGGGGCGGGCCATTACAGTAGAGCCAAGGTAAGAAGATATAAATGTTAAGCAAATGGGAWGAGCAGAAATAGCATGGAAGAAAGAAAAGGTGGGAATGGGAAGAATCAATAGTGGAAAGAGGAAAAACCGCTAGAGAAAGGAAACAAAGAATATGGGAAGGGACGAGGAAAGAAAATGAATTAGGAGAGAATAGTGGAAAGTGGAAAAAAAGAAACGGAGAATGGAAGGAAAGAAAATTGAAAAGGAGAAACTGAGAAAATAAATAAAGGAAACAAAAGAAAAGAGTGTCATCTTTGCGGCAAAGTACTGTTATTTTTATCTCCGTTTCAGTTTATTCGTCTTTCGCACGATACTGACCCAGAATTAGCCTATGATCTTCTTTGTAACGAATGGGATATTGGCGTACCAAAGCTTTTAATATCTGTTACTGGAGGAGCCAAAAACTTTGTCATTCAACCAAAGCTTAARCAAATTTTACGGCATGGATTACTTAAGGTATGTAAGTGATATCATTAGTATAGAAATAATAATTTTTTTAATTTAGAGAAGTTTCTTAAATTAATTAAACGTGTTTTCGTCCAATGTTTTTGTGTACTACACAGGCAGCCCAGATTACAGGTGCATGGCTKATWACYGGTGGAACGAACACAGGWGTCATGAAGCACATTGGTGAGGCAGTGCGTGGTCACACAGTCATGTCACGTGGTGCACAGCTTAAAGACAGGGCTCATAAAGTGCACTTGATTGGTATTGCAAGTTGGGGGATAGTTAACCATAGAGAAAAACTTGTCGATGCTCAGGTATCTATCCATGTTTACACYTATTTGAAATAGTTTGAGAGTGGATGATCGATCGAAAGGCACTGTGGATATCATGCTCYWRTCGACTYCTTTTTTGTGGCTACTGGCTCAAAGAGGCTCAAATCATTATGCTATCGTATTGACGGTTAAAWGTCCGTGCGTAACTCGAGTTGTTTTTGCTGTTTTTTTTTCTTTTCTTTGGGTTACACCCTCCCTTCCTTTTGATTATAGTGACTTGTGACTAATGTTTGAACTTGATTCTCGTTTGTCAGGAAGTAGTAGCCTATCACATGACGTCCAGTTTGCAATCAAGTGGTGCCTGCCTGGACAATAATCATTCGCACTTTATCCTGGTCGATAATGGTACCATAGATCAGTATGGGGTRGAGATCTCCTTCAGAGCAAACCTAGAGAATTGTATTGCCAGGAAAACTATGTTGTGTGGTGAGTTGACGACGTGGTATTAACCTAAAAAGGTTGAATTAATGATATTCTCTTTTGTTAAAAGCTTTGTTATTACATTGTTTTAGAAAAGAGTGTTCCTGTTGTTTTRCTGGTTTTGGAAGGTGGTCCTAACACGATTCGTACTGTACTTGAGTCTGTWACAAAAGAACCTTCCGTTCCWGTTGTCATTGCTGAAGGSAGTGGCCGAGCCGCGGATATCCTTGCCTTTGCACATAAGTACATTGGACCAGCAGGAGGGTAACTATCTACTCCTCCAYTTCATCATTCTAACTATTCCACGCCAAATCTTTTGCACTGCTAAATTAGAGTCCTTCTGATAAATATATTTTTTCACAGAGAAATGTCTGATGTTGGAGATGTAGTTGAGCATCGACAACTTTTATATAAAATCGAAAAGGCGTTTCCTGAAGTTGATCGCGACACGCATTTCACCCTGTATCAACAAGTTCTCACATGTGTTGCTAAGAGAGAGTTTGTACGTATTCATGTTTTTTATATTTACACCTACTTGCGAAAACGTTGTCATAAAAAAATAGGACATTTGTATTTTAGTAAAAAGGAATAAATTAAAARCACAAAGGAAGATCACCGAGGCTGAACGCTTTCTTTTGTCTTGTTTTAATTTATTCCTTTTTACTAAATTCGAATGTTCTATTTTCTATGACAACGTTTCTGCAAGTAGGTGTATGTCTTTGTAATATATCGTTACTGATTGATTGATTGATTCCTGATTGACTAATTGTCTGAGTGATTGACTGATTGATTGATTGATTGATTTGTTGATGGATTGATTGATTGATTGATGATTAACTGACTGTCTGATTGATTGAATGATTGATTGATATATTTTCAGATCACAGTTTTTTGTGTAGATGAAGGCGATATGGACAAAGCAATCTTACGAGCTTTATTAAAAGGTGAAAATAAGTGAATCCACATTTAATTCGTTGCTATATTTCCATATAGATCCTTTACATMTTCCTGTGTAATTCACAGGTCAACGAACGCTTATTGAAGACCAGCTTAACCTGGCCTTAATATGGAACCGCCCAGACATCGCAAAGTCCGAAATATTTTCTGAAGACCATAAATGGAAGGTAAYCTTATAGATATACTGCACTGCATTAATCCRGCCAGAATAAATGGAATGATGCCAAATTTTGATTYGGTTTTCAGTCGTGTGAACTAGAGAAAACCATGATGTCAGCCTTACARTACGGYCATGTGGATTTTGTGGAACTCTTGYTAGAAAACGGCGTTAGTATGTCCCACTTCCTGACAGAAAAACGGCTCGGGGAGCTTTATAAAAAGGTAATTACTTGGATTTTGAACAGTATAAAGCAGTTATGTGTCCAGTGGAGGGAGTCTTGCATTTAGATACTTTTTAGGGGGTGAATTTTCATCCCTGCCACGCCCATTAACACAGGAGTCAGGAGGTCTCTTGGGTATCAGTTTTATCATTTTTAGCAAGCACGCCCACCTTATCATATGTGAGTCCTTCTCAACTAACCCAGGATGATGTACTAATCATTACGTCATTGCAAATTTCTGACGGCGTTTCTTTTATCGCTTGAAGACGATCGATGCCAGCCGCACACTAAAATTCATTCTTCAAAAGTGCAAGGTAACGAATTAATGTGCAATGGTTTATTTTATGTTTCATGGATTAAGTGCGGTCTACCCTATATGAATCCTGGGAGGGAAAAGTACTTATGGAAGTGAAAATTAAATTCTGGTGTCTCTGCATGTGAGTGCTATGTGAAATAACGTTGTTTAATTCACTTTAAGGTCACTAGAGACTTCCGTTTGGCAGACCTGTGTACTATCACTGACTATCTTGTAGGACTTTCCTTTAGATGTGTAAGCAGGAAACAAGATTCCTTTATTARACAGGTATGTAACAGGAACATAAAAAATGTCATTGGTTAAGGCCGAGTGTTGTATGAAGGATAGGCAGCATCAAAAATTTGTTTCATGACGTGTGACGTCAGACTGCAACGTGCATGATGTCAGAATGAAACCTAAAAAATTGTTGCACGATGTGTGACGTCAGAGTGCGGCAGTATTCAGAATTGTTGGACGCTGACTTCAAGATATAGAGAATTGCTTTATCATTTGATGACCAGTGAATATTGCTGATAGAAGTAACAATAATTCCTCCATCTTGTAGAGTATGAGTRTCTTCAATGCTTTCGTCTTTTCTCCTGCGACCACATCGAGCTTTGAACCCACGGTGCGCTACAAGTTCCCTTTCAAAGAGCTCATGGTCTGGGCTGTACTGTGTAATAGACAAAAAATGGCACGCTTTATGTGGGAAAGAGGGGAGGACAATCTTGCCAAGGCGCTTATTGCTGGTTTTATGCTGAAAGCCATGGCAAAGGAAATGTCTAAAGATGATCTACTTGATGATTTATGCGATGGACTTGAACAGGATGCCAAGTAAGTAGCAGTGTTTGGATTTCATGTGATTTGATACACGGAAGAGGGTTGTTGGACGCAATTGAAGTACCAAGCCCTGTACGTTGTTCAAGTCAAAACGCGCGCTTTACTAGGGTACCGCACCTAAAGTGTACTGTTTTCTATGATTTCCTAGATATTTCTACGATCTGGCGGTAGGCATATTGGACGAATGTTTCCGTACCAACGAAGCGACCACTGATAAGCTACTAACATATCATCTTGACTACTGGGGCGGCCAAACTAACCTCTCATTGGCTGTTGCTATGAAACACAAGGAATTTGTAGCACACTCATCCTGTCAATCAAAAATGACTGAGATTTGGATGGGAGCTATTAGACATGATACATGGTCGACGTTTAAGGTACGTCTTGATTGAGTTATATCACGATAACGCATCGCCATACGTTGGTGGACTTACAAACATTTGATGCAGATATGTATGTTGGAACTGAAATTCTATAGTATTGATGATATTATTGATACTATCTTTCTGCCTTCCCATGACTCCCTTCGGTCGTAGCGCGCTTCACCTTTTTAGGCTGATTTACACGGTACGATTTGTCGCGCGCGACTTGTAGTATACGATTTTCCTACTACAAGTCGTAGGATTTTAAGCAGTGGTTCAAAACCCTACTACAAGTCGTAGGTTGCGTACGACTGTTGTAGACAAGTCGTAGGGGCATTTACACTGCGCGATTCAAGTCGTATACTGCAAGTCGCACGAGACAATCGTGCCGTGTAAATCAGCCTTTTGAACCCGACAGCGTTTTTTTAAATTAGTTGTAGAGTTGTAAAATAATTATTTTTCAATTGTTTACAGGTTGTCCTGGGATTACTCTGCCCTCCCATTWTATTCACACTCGATTTTAAATCCAGAAAGGAGATGTCATCTATGCCTTGTACATTCGAAGAGCATCAGGCTGAACAAGTCCGAGAAATGACATTAACTAATCAGGCAAACCATACCATTAACTTTAAAAATCACCGAAGTGATGGGAATTTAATTGATGGTGAGCCCGCAGTTCAACTAAGGTACGTCAACACATCTTACTATCAACGTATGGCCGCCATCTTGAATTTAATGTGGAGTCGCGTTGACAACAATGAGTACATCATCTTAAGCTACAAAATATTTTTATAGGACGCTCAGAAGCACTTGTGATCGCCAAGAACTATATCAAGTCAAAAACGGAAAGGAAGATTACCATCAGCATTGCCAACATAGAATGAGCTGGGCCAGGAAATTTTATGAATTTCACCGTGCACCAATCACGAAATTCTGGGCTAACCTGGTATTATATGTCAGTAGTAGTCTGCATAGTCATAGCAACTCTAAAAGATGGAACATTCCCATTCCATTTCCCATGAATTCATTCATTCATGCATTCATTCTATCATTCCYTTGTTCCTTCGTTTAGTCGTTCGTGCGTTCGAGAGTTCGTTTGTGCATTCATTCATTCATCCTTTCATATTATCTTTTACTCATCATTTCGTCCTTTTTTAAGTCTTCTACGGTTAAGTATTCCATCCTTTTCTTCGATTCCTATGTATTAATGCGTAAAATTATTTCCATTAAATCAACAAAAATCTCTCTTGTTTTTCAGATTATATATTTCATGTTTTTGGCACTTTTTAGTTATATAATCCTATTAAAGCTTGAACCGTTTCCTAAGCTAGAAGAATGGATTCTAATTGGATTCGTTTTAACTCTCTTATTGGAGGAAATACGTCAGGTAACAATCTTTGGGTGCAAATTGGTGACAGTTGCCCGTTGATTACTCCTATTAAACTTCCTATCGTATCGAAATCAAAATATCAGCTCTCGTTAAATGGTCATGGTCGGACCTCCTTATAGCGTCCACCACCATAACCATTCGACCATAGCGGTTGCTTTCTACTTCTTTCAATGTAATTCGTATTTTATCCAGATTGTCCAATCAGAACCATGCTCGCCAGCCAGGAAGATCAAAGAATGGGCATCTAATAACTGGAACATTTGCGATGGAATCGCTATCATTCTCTTCTTTGTTGGTGTTGGTCTGCGGTTTCACCCAGAAACTCTTCATATTAGTCACGTGATCTACAGCGTTGATATCATGCTGTGGATTATAAGGCTACTGGATATTTTCTCAGTTAACAAGAATTTAGGTCCATACGTAGTTATGATTGGTCGAATGGTAAGTTACACTCCATATATAGGCATTACTTTTCTTTCGTTTCTTAGAAAACTCATGACTTGTTATCTTTCAGACTGTTGACATGGCTTACTTTCTTCTTATCATGGTTGTGTTTTTATTGGCTTATGGTGTAGCACAACAAGCCATCCTATTTCCTAACCAAGCACCAACATGGGAGCTGATCCCTAAAATATTCTTCCGCCCTTATTTTCAAGTTTACGGGGAGCTGTTTATTGAGGATGTTGAATACGCGAGTAAGTGAACTGTTATACATACAGTGATATCTCGGGAGTTTTCAAAGTGGTCGTTAAAGTTTAGTTTGCCCGCTAAGTGGAGGTTGAATAGAGGGCGAATAAAGAGACGTTTTATTGTGGCCGATAAATAGAGGGTGGTCGCTTAATAAGTGGCCGCTTAATAGAGGTACTACTGTAAAAAGGCTATAGGAGTTCGCGTTGAATATTTATATATTTTATATAATACTTGCAGATACAGCCTTTTGCACAAATTATGAGACATTTTTATATATATAAATATACCTAACCAAATATCAAAAACACCCAAGAAATTATGGGATACCGTCGCTGATATTTTGTCTGTAACAACCTGATGTTAGGCAATCATGACAAAATATAATAGAGATATACCATAATTTCTGGGGTGTTTTTGATATTTGGTTAGGTATATTTATATATATAAAAATGTCTCATAATTTGTGCAAAAGGCTGTATGTTCAACTTTCCGTTTCTGTTGTAGATGATGACAGTACAACAGCATTTGGTACGCCTAAAGTTAACGTCTATGCGGGTCGTCTTGTTACTATTATTATGGCTTTTTTTCTTCTTGTGGCGAACATACTCTTACTGAATCTACTCATTGCCATATTCAAGTGAGTGTCTTTTAATTTTTTTACCTTCTAAACTCCTAATGTTTGGGATTCCTGTCTTATATAACAAATTTGGTGGGTGTGTCCTTCAGTTCACTGAAGGGTAACACAGGGATCCTCAAATGTCTAAGAGTGAGGGTGCATAGACGCCGCACAATTAAGTGCCTTCCGATAACAGAGTGTCGTATGAAATTATATGTACATAGCTTATTAATGTTTCTCCCTTTTTTCGATTCCCTGTACCTTTGCCGCTTTACCTATAACTACATACCAGCGTCTATTATTGTTCGAGTTAAGTAAGATGAAAAAAGCCGTCACATAGATATTATACTAATACACCTTGGTATTCTCACCATTGGGTTTATAGCCTGGTGATTATCACACAGTTAAACGACCTTTAACATTAGACCTAGATCAATCATAGATCTAGTTCATTTTTGAACATTTCAAAGAAAAAATTAATAACATCGAATAGTTCTTACATGGACTTTTTCTGCGAATATTTGTTTTTCGATCTGCAAAATTTGATACAAAGGGTTGTTTTTCCTCAGCAATACCTTTGAGAAGGTTCAAGCCAATGCAAATCAAATATGGAAGTTTCAACGTTACGAGCTAATCATGGAGTATTCGCAAAGACCGCTTCTTGTCCCTCCCTTCATCGTGTTTGCTCACATCTATCGACTGCTAAAATACTGTTGCAAGCGCAAGGCAAAGGGGACAACGAAGTCTGATCGCAAGCTAAGTAAGTACTTTTAGCTGTAATTTGACAATGCTACAATTGGAATTAATCGTGAAGTGGTGAATGGGTAATGCCTAACAATTTTTCGTCATTTCTTTGTGATTTCTACTCTATTCCTTTCTTTTTTTCGCGATTTGTGTCTAATTTCTAATCTAAGCATTCAGTCATGATTCAATCAAACATTCATGGTGTGAGATACCAAGGAACAGTTTCGAAATAAGCATAAGATAATCTGTTCCCGCTGAATCTACACACACAAAAAAAAACATGTACTGTTTACACAAGAACACTCTGGTTTCATAGTTTCTTGGTGTGCTTAATAATTTTTTTTATCTCCTTATTCCGCTTCYAGCTCCCAGTTCTAATTTCCAATCAAACATTTGAAGATTTGTCTATATATAGCAGCCATCTGGTTTTTTTTCACAGTTGATCTCCAGAATGGTGTAATTTTGCTTGGTGTCATTTGTATTTCACATTTTTAAATGCACATCTTAACTTAAAATATAATTTTCCTTCATCTCTAATGCACTCAATACTTAAGTAACGTTAAAAGCATCCATTTTGGTGGTAAAAGTTAAATTTTGCTTCGTAAACATTACCACCCACAAAGATAAAGTGCTTTGTTGTCATAGTAATGATTCCCAAATAGTCCTCAATGTAAGCTCGGCAAGTCTACTTGCACGAAAAGAGAATTTTTGAGATTAAAAGGGGCATTGGTTAAAAAAGCAAGAGTACCAATTAACCATCATGCTTTGCTCTAGAATATGACGTCACTGCACTCTAACTTGTGTCTATTTTGTCGTTAAGATATATCTACGGTTTACTCTCTTTGAACGACCACTCTCGTAAGCGACCATATCCCGTATGCGACCACCTTTTAAATTTCCCGTTATAATTGCTTCCCATGTAAACTCTGTAAAAACACTCCCTCGTAAGCGACCATCTCTCGTAAGCGACCACTTTTTCCTGATCCCGAGGTGGTCTMTTACGAGAGAGWTGACATATATTTGTGGATCGGGCTCATTTAAGTGAATCACTGGCTTTGATAGACGATTGTATCGGTATWGCCTTTCTGTCTATGTTTCCATAACAAATGCAGGGCTAAAATGGTTTCTATTTATGATAAGTATCGCTCTTCTTCTACCCTTTGTCAGAACCTAAAGAAAAAAGCATTATGTCTGAAATGCCAGGTAGATTTGATATGTTTTGCGATATGTAATGCACTATTATTTCATTAAGTGAAAGAGATTCATTGGTACAGGTGTGTTGTTGACAATAAATGTTTGGTTGTAGATACACTATACAATAGGAGAATTCAGGGGACGTCAAATGTCTAGTATTGTTCAAATAGACTTGGCAGCCAAAAGACTGAACTGCTTCTTTGTTTGTCAATAGACAAAGAGAAGTAATATGTTTATAAAGAAAGATGAAAAGGTCACTTTTTCATGCGTCTCTCCTCTTGAGAAAAAATGCTTTCAAGCTCAAAAATGCTTTACTCCGACGAAGGATTAACGTCCGAAATGCCAGTAAGTTGTTTCACCTATTTTTTACGGTGTCAAATTTATCTTTTTACACAACAGTCAAAATGCTTTGTCATCGAAACAAAGGCCGAGGGGAAACATGGGAAGGCTAATTGCCACGTTCTCTTAGATTTTTAGTCGAGTGAGCGGTGTGTCTCAAAAATCATAAAAAAAATGACCATTGTAGATACATTACATACATTTTGCTTGTTCAGTCTACTTTAGTTTCTACTAAAGCTAACATGACAACCGGCGTTTAAGGACCCGACGAACCGGTCTTTTTTGTAAAGTTTAAGTGCTGTAGAGAGGATCGATGTGGGAGATATTCCGGTCTCTTGCTCSCTGTTCATCAAAGTTTTAACCTACTTTCTCCACTCTGGTTGTAAAATTTATCGCTTTCCCTATGCATTTTCTCTGTTTTTATTTTTTGTCCTCGATTTTTTTTTTTTTACACGCGAGTGTGTAATTTTTTATTCGATTGTTTTACTAATTGCGACAATTTTATATAACGGACATTTTAATAAGGGGCTAATTACATTAAATGGCATTGGCGATCCCTTATAAATGTAGTCTTTTTGACATTTCCTTTTAAAGCTATTACTAAGACTAAGTAGCTGTCTTCCTGAACTTCCTCAATGAATTCGTAAGACTCCCCTTTTACCCTGTTCAACGTCAATTTTCCTGTTTTTTTTTCTATCCTTAACGAAAAAAGGTTTGATCCCATTATCTATGAGACTCGTAGACTATAATCCAAGAAAGCAAAGTTCGGGCTTACTCTAAGAGCATTAATCAACTATGATCGGCCTCTTTACTAGCTCACGAATTATTTAATCGGTAATAGCMCTCCTTATCGCAGAAATAATCTCTATTATTCTCTCAGGCGTGGAAAGAACGAGATTAGCTGTTTCTTTACACGTAGGTGTGTATTTGATACGGGAACTTCTCAGTGAGTTTTCAGGAAATTAAGTARTACTCGCTCTTCATATTCTCAAGTCCTCCACCCTTTTCGCAACGTTTTTTTTCAGTTTAGTATTGTTTTCACTCCATTGAAAAACGATAAAGAAACGGAACAGTTTCGAAATAAGCACAAGATAATCTATTCCCGCCAAATCTACAAAATATATATGATATATATACTGTTTGCACAAGAACACTGTGGCATCTAAACTCATATTGCATAGTAGAAGCTGTCAAAGGAGTGACTATAACCTTAAAGTTTTTGATATCTTAAAGCTTTTTAATCTAAAATAAAAACACAGTTGTGACCTTGTTGCAGCATTTCAAATAAGCCTGTCTCGAGCTGTCTTCTTTCTTTACCTTTTTGAAAAAAGATGTTGAGTCTTTTACAAATGTCATGGTGATGTCAAAGTTTATGTCGAGAAGTGAAAAAAATCTTAATTTGGATATCGCTGCTTTGTTTGCGCAGCTCGAACCTGAAGGTTCGGAAATTCAAGAAATCATTTTCTCATGATATTTCAGCATAATTTTCAGTTGTTTATATTGGAGCCATTTGGATCGATTTTCACTGGAAGTTGTTTTTAACCGAAATGGAAAGTCATTGTCTTGACCATTCAAAAGAGAAGATACGCACTTTATATTCAATTAGCTAGAAGCGATAAATGCCAGTCAATGGACTTCTTAAACCAGTGTCAAATCCATTTCGTTTTAGCTCATTTTACAGAACAGGAAGGACTCTGASTGAAAATTCTTAGTGGGGCCGTTTTCTTATTTTAAGCCTTTTTTCTGCGTTGGTTTGATTAGACAAGTGGATCAAACTCCTTGACAAGTTCTTATTAAGCTAAAACCATTAGCAGGTTATTGGCTGATTGAATTTGCAGCRTTCTAATTGGATAACCTGGGTATTATATATAAGTGCTTGTTGGACATC